GTCAGCTATGGTTTTTATAACACAACCTTAAGTTAACCGCTTATAATGTAACTTTTTATGTTTTTAAAAATAGTTCAGTTTTTTTTTTTTTTGAGATTATCTATTAATATATTTACTCTTCACTTGCCATTAGGTTAACTGCATGCTCGTTTGTTCCATGTGTTATGAAAAAAAAACAAAGATAAATCTTCTTTATAATAAATACGTCTTAATTTAAAATTTATACTATTTATTTCTTTTTTATCAACATATATTAATAACATTTTATTTCTATAACTTTTTCATACGCTATCTGAACAAACCCTTATTCACATCCACGGGTTAGAAATCTGAATATCGCGTTGTAGCACACAGATACTATAATAACAACTCCATCTAGTGGTCAACGTGAGGAGTATTTCTGTTGTTTCCATGGTTACAGCATTTAACTCAATACGGATTATACACTATCTGTCGATAATGTTCTAAATCGTTACTAATATTTAAAAAAGGAAATATGATTTTTTTTTTTTATCTTATTGGCATTATATTTTTTATTATCGGTTAAATTAATCGACGTAGGACATAGTGTACTTTTTAACCCAGCCAATAAATATATGCCGATCGAACGAAGCTTAAAAACAAGTAATAAAAAATAATTATTTTACATTATATTATGTAAAAGCTATTACAACCCTATATTAAACTAACATATTACTATGTATAGCAGCGTCCAACTCAATACATTTTGCTCTTTATTGTTTCAGCGGTGTTTTATTACTATGCATTATTCACTGTAAATCTGAAATATAGATTTTATTGTTTTGTTGGAAGTAGTCATTGTTGAGACGTTTAAATATTAACTAGTCCAGTTTAAATATTAACTCAAGTTACTGCAAGGTGAAGTTAGAATAGTTTCGATTTTTATTATTAAATCTAATAGTAAATTTATCTTAATGTTTTAAAACGAAAGGATTTGATTGCTTGTTTGTTTTTTACGGATAAACTCAAAAACTACTTAAGCGATTTTAAAAATTCTTTCGCCTATACAAGGCTACGTTATTAGGGAGTGGCATAGGCTATTGATTATTTTAAAAAAAAATTATCTACTCGTCCGAATCCAGGCTAGATCACTAGTTATCAGACTAACAAAATTTGATTATCAATTTGGACAAAATTAATATACGAGTAGAAGCAACAAGGTGCCAAACTCGATTAAAAAAAAACTTTGTTCCATGATCATTGCCAAAATATGGCAACACCACAGGAACAAATAGATTGCAAAAAGAATTTTCAAAATCGGTTCAGAAACGGCAAAGATATCGCGTAACATACAGATAAAAGAACAAGCGAATTGAGGATCTGGATCTATTTTGGAAGTCACTTTTAAAATAATTATCTTGTATCAAAAATGAAATAATAATAAATTACAATATATATATATATATATATATATATATATATATATATATATATATATATATATATATATATATATATGTGTCTGTCTATATTGCATATGTTACGTAATATCGAATTATCAACTTACCCACACCATATCGTTTCCTGTACTGCGATAATGTATTACTTAGTCGCGACACTAATCAATCTCCAAATGATTCTATATCGGATAGTGTTTTGATAAGTTTAATCAGGCTTCCAAAAAAATTTGCTACCAATGTTTACACCTATTAGCCAATTTTCCTCGAAATCAATTAGATTTTTTTTTATTTAGAATGGCAAACATGCTGACGTGCTCGGGCGGGCCTGATGAAAAGTGGTGGTTCTACCGTGAAGCAGTTGTATTTGCATAGCTGTGTTTCAGTTTGAAGGGTGGGATATGGCAGTGTAATTACAGGGTACAGAGGAATAACACCTTAGTCTTCAATATTAGAAACGCATGAAGAAACGTATCATGGGCTACATGGTCTGTTATGCTCATGGTACTGCTCATGTCTATAGGCGACGGTTGTCACTTTTAATATGGTAAACTGTAATTATTTTTGCCATTCCAAGTTACATAAAAAATTCATTTTTATTTTATACAACTTAGAATGGCAAACAAGCTGACGGCCCACCTGATGGAAAGTGGTAACCGTCGCCTATAGACATGAGCAGTACCGTAGACATAATGGAATATACTGTTTCGCCCATGATACCTCCCATGCATTGCTATTCCTGAGGATTCGGATGTTATTCCTTTGTACCCTGTAAATTCACTACCATATCCCACCCTTCTAACCAAAACACAGCCATGCAAATACGACTGCTTCACGGTAGAAACACAAATGAAACAGAAGTACCCAAGCAAACTACTTTTGTACAAAGTCTCTTTATGGTCAGAGAGTTATTTTGCGGTTTAAGAACTTTTAAACTGTACAGCGGTCCAATGGAGATGGCATATTTAATTATTAATTGAATGATCGAGTGAAACGTCACTATTGACATAATATATAATCACTAATCTAATCTACATAATGAACAGCCAAATCAGCAGAATATCGTCAGTAATAGTGATATTCCACTGATACGGAACGTTGCTACTGATTTTGATCTAAAAATGATCGTTTTAAAGTGCAGAGATTAGGGTATCTTAGTGATGATTACCTTAAAAGTACAGAAAGACTAAATGAGGTCATTAAAATTTTGGAAACTTTTTTTTTATTTAATGATAATCGAATGGTAACCCTGCCTGCTCTAACGGTGTACATTGGCGGTGCACCAGTGAGGGGTGATAGTTGAGAATGAAAAGGCAGATCAGTTAGCAGATCGTGATGATTATACCAGGAATTCAGCACGATGCTTTCCAGGGGGGGACCACGTGGAGATCGACCTTATAGGGCTTATATTGCTAGCAATGGCACTGATAGTCCGCTTTACTAACAGTCCCTTCCTCCCACTTTGAAAACTATACAAACGACTCTGATTTATCAGAGTAATTACCAAAAATACTAGAGTTGTAAACCTATTTGAAATCAGACTGAATTTTGATTCTGTGTTTTTCCGAAATAAAAGTTGTGTAATTTATAATATCCTTGTGATCCCAGCATAGAATGGGCCACTCCTTCCTTTCCCGTGGATGTTGTAAGAGGCGAACTTACAGTCGAGCAATGAGCAGCAATGTTTCTCTTAAAACATCAAAGGCTTGACTACGATTTCCAAACCGCCTGCCAAGCGCGGCAGCTACTGCCACCTCTCCTCCCCATGATTTGTGGTGGAGGCCTATGTCCAACAATGGACGGATAATGGCTGAGATGATGATGATGATGATGATGAACTTGTATTGCTAATAAAATATTGAAACATAACAAATACGAGTAGTAATAGTGAATATTTGTTTAAATATTCTAATAATAAAATAATAAATAAACTTGGTAATTCAGCTTGATTTCTGCTTGAAACAGCTGTGAAAAGACACTATTTTTGGGGGCATCTGAACTACAACTTTATTATTTTTACTATGACTAACGTTAGACGATCATATCATACAAAATATGAGGATTAACTTGTAATTACTATTTTTAATCCTAATAGATATGAATTACGAAATACCTATATTGGTATTTACAAAGATAATATTGAGAATTTATAAACCTAAATAAAAATTCAAGATAAAAAGAAAATTAAAAATAGAAAGAGCAAAAATAAAGCGTCGTGTAATAATAATACAAAAGAAAGTCAAGGTCATACTGTAAACTCATCAAACGTTCAACATTATTGATCTTGCTCTAATTGTTTAGAAAACTAAGCCTTTAGATTTAGTGCAGTTACAAGTGGTAGCTGCTTCTAGTTTTCCTCTTAGACTGATGTTTGTTGTGGTCTATAAAAGAGACGCATGTTAAGAGAAAGGTCCACTGTGCTCGGAGACCTCAATTTCAAATTAATCGTTTGATTATTTTAAGGCATTTAGGTATCATGCAATAAGCTACATTAGAAGCCTTCAAGAAAGAAAGTATGCAATGAAAGTAATCTAGACATTTGACAGCAGAGAATACTGCAAAGTATTCCTGAACATGTAATAATGTCAGTAAAATATCTCTTCCTCGCAATTTTTCCTTGAGAAATCATCCATGTCATATATGACATGCACTTGCAAGAAAAAGTTTGGCTTCCAACTTTAGTCCTCTCAACTGATATGTAATAAACAAACAAACTTTACTATTTGACACATAAAAATCCCGTTTACTGTATGTTAAATATTTAATATTTGACCATTTTAAACCACGTTGATAGCTTATCATAAACAATGCATCATCATTCATCAAGCGAAATCTTGACGCGGTGTTCAGTGACGCCAACGTGGCACACTTTGATAAATACTGTCACCAGAAGATGTGGTGTTAGATATTTTCCTTTGCTTACATAACTAAATTATTATATAATTTTAATTCTCCTACATTAGCTGTATCGTTTACTGGAGCTATATTGTCTCTAACATCAACCGAAGTCTGTTGAGTATTCTGCAAATTTATCTTTTTCTATTATTTAACCTTCTCAGTGATAGTTTTGTGTGGTGTGCCTACTTAACTATTTGTAGTTATTATGAATAAAAGGTGTAACACTTTAGTTGTCAGTCTCAACGCGTGAGGAGTACCATTTACAGCTCTGTTCATATCTTCAAGCATTCCGTTCATATCTCTATCAAGTAGGCTTTCGTCGTGTTTGTTATTGTTAATAGTTTTTATGCCTTATTTTACAATTATACTTATTTCCTGCTCGCTATTTCTTTACTCGCTTAATCTATTAATTGAAATGCTAATTCCGTACTTAGCAATATTGATAAGTTAGTCTTTAGTATGTCTTCAATACACACGATATACTTTCGTCCATTGACGTACGGATCAGACACGATTCACGTGTCACTACACCGGCGGTATTAAATGTATTTATCGTAGTAATTACTTTATGTAATAACATAAACGTCACGCAAGCATCAATCACCGTATCTTAATCTTTTGTTATTAAATCGTGCACAAAATCGGCTAGGCTTCCAGTGATAACAGTTTTTCCTTGGCCAACAGAAACTCGAGTACTAAGCAGTATTAATCCAGTGATATAGAAAAGTGTGTGTTACAATATTAAATGGACTTAAGTGTTTAAAACATTTACACTAACTGTTACAATGTGTTTCAAAAGTAGTGGGTGAATTGGAGAAAATGATAGTGAGGTGACATTGGGATCGGCCATTTGGGCTGAAGTGATTGACTTTCGGAAACATTCCTCTATTAAAAATTCTAAGCCAGGGCCCGCAGGATAAAAGCAAGGATATTTGCAAAATGACCAAGGGCCCTCGCAAAGTGAAGCTAGTCATTGTAGTTAACAATAAGAAAGAGTGAGTATTTATCTTTAAGATTTTATGATGGTGTTACAAATACCCTATTCAAAGTTCTGAAACAAAATATCATCTTACGAGTGATATTTCTATTTTTTTATTTACTATTTTGAACTTGAATTGTGTTTTTGTAATGCCATATTATGCCTGTATTTGTGTATGTTTAAGACTTTGTAATTTTGTACTTTAATATATATTTTTTATAGTAAAATGCTTCTCCCGTTTACGCTGTAAGTATACAATGGTGGGATACTAATGTGGGATGATAGATGAGGATAAAGTGTTCAGTAATTAACCATGTTGATGATTAAGTGGAGGTCAACTTGACAGGGTGTATTGATGGTAATGGAGCCGTTCATATCAGCTTTTAATTGTCCACTGCTGAACATAAGCCTCCCCTTTTTAAGAGGGACGCTATTGCCCATCCCTCGCCCTACCTTAGTCGTCTCTTACGACAGCCACGGGAAAGGAAGGGGTGGGCTATACTCTGCCGGGATCACAGGGTCTGGTGGGGCTATTAATTCCCATTAATAACAACTCCTCCTCCGTCTAAATATTCTTATTATTACACGGTAAGTTTGTAATATTCTATGCATAACTGTAATAACTGATCTGTATCAATAGAATTAAGAGAAGAAAGAAGAGAACTAATAAAACTATACTTTTTATTTAACTTCGACCTTTAATATTTAAATCTACTTTATGTTACTGTATTTCACTTCAATTGTCATTGTATATTTTCAAGTTTTTGGTGCAACAAAGAGTTAAACAAGTAAATAAATTTATGCACAAAGATTTAGCAAACATGAAAAAATACGATCGAATCGAAAATCTCCTTCTTTTTGAAGTCGGTTTGAAATTAATTAATTAATTGAATATTTCGAAATGTTTCTATTTAATTTATGTCATTTAAAGACCGTTTCTGTAATGATTTCAACATTTTGTCTTTTTGCCATTTTTTGCCATTTTCATTAATTTTTATTGAAATAGGCTATTATATCTAGACCGGTAACAAACACATTTTGTCATTGATGATTACAATACTCCAAGAGATGATGCACTAATGATGCTGCCGGTGATATAATTAAGATGAAGGTCCAAGTTGTAGCAATGAGTGACCGGATACGAACGATTTTATACCTACCCACCCGGCAATTAAGTCGATGTTGCGATAAAACATTAGCATACAATACGTATTTGCGTATTCATTCATGGGCTTCCCATTCATGGTGTATTGTAGTAGTTTTTCAGTTGTAGTAATATGATTAGGTAAATAATTATAGGGAATTACATCTAAATCATTAATATCCTTTTTAACCAACTTCAATAAAAGGAGGTGCTCAATTCGGTTGTGGTTTTTATATTTGTAGCCCCATAACTCCGTCAGTTAAAGGCCTCCGTCGGGGCAAAGGGATGGTTTTTTTTTATGGGTAAAAATGGTATGGTAACCCCGCCTGCGCTAACGGGATACGCTGGCGGAGCACCAGTGAAGGGTGATAGATGAGAATGAAAACAGGCCAGTTAGCCCATCACGATGAATTCATCAGGAATTAACCATGATAGTTTCCAGAGGGAATCGCGAGGAGGTCGACCTGGTTAGGTATATTGCTAGCAATGGGATTCTCAGTCTCCATTACTAACAATCCCTTTTCCCCCTGCAAAGGGATGATTAGTAATGGGGTCTAACTAACCCATTGCTAGCTATACTGATAGGGTTATCAGGTCGACCTCCTTCGACTTTTATTCTAGTGGGATTAACCACGATTAATAAAATATTTCAATAAATAAACTTATTATAGAACCAGTGTAATGTGAGAGTACACTTTCAATTAAGAAAATAATCATTAGAATCGGTTCAAAGTTAATATGTTATTAGATTTAGACCATACACACAAGAAAACCGGATAAATTAAGAATCTCCTCCTATCTGAAGTCGGTAAAAACGTAATAGTAGCTGACACGCCTTTATGTGTGCATTTACAAAGCATTCCAATTCATATTTTACTCACACACACAAGCGCGGTATGTACGTATCGTTTAATTCATCAGTTACACAACGAACACACGCATAACTATTCAACACATACATACAAAATGGTAATTGCTAATAAATCTTTTTGAAGACGCTTAGAGGCATATTACACTGTCAAATATATTGGATCATACGTACGTATTGGACCTCCTTATTCGAGGACTTACTAACCTATCTTAGCTATTACAGTATTTTATAATTTTCTTTTGTATTGTACAGATTTTTAATTTATAATGTAGTAAAACGTGTGGTTATTTCTTTTGGATTAAAATTTTAAAGTTAATCTGTCACATTAAAAGGTCTATTTGTGCAACAAATTTTAACAAAATCTGATCAACCATTCAATCTTCAGTCAATTCAGCAAGTCAGAGATATGCATTACATTCTATGTTATCTATACTAATAATATAAAGCGAAAATATTTGATTGTCAATTTTTTTGTAATGGTTAAACTCAAAAACTATTCAACTGATTTTAAAAAAATTTACAGCATCTTTTTTTATGCAACTTAAAATGACAAACGAGCTGACGGCCCACCTGATGGAAAGTGGTAACCGTCGCCTATAGACATGAGCAGTACCATGGACATAACAGAGTATACTGTTTCACCCATGATACCCCCCATGCGTTGCCATTCCTGAGGACTCAGGTGTTATTTCTCTGTACCCAGTAAATTCACTACCATATCGCACCCTTCAAACCGAAACACAGCCACACAAAGACAATTGCTTCACAGTAGAAACACGAATAGGTCAGAGGTGCCGAAGCAAACGACTTTTGTATAAAGTCTCCCTCTGGTCAGTGTGCAAAGCCGGGCCGTATCGCTAGTAATGTATATTTGACAGTGTAATACAGTTCCCACACACGAGGTTACGGTAATTAACCCTTTAATTGTCGTATGGCGCAAGCGATATGCGCTCAGCGATCCCATTAGTGGATGGTACGGGACACGCGAACGCACAATTGAAAGTGAAGGCGAAGATGATACAAGAGTTCGGATTGGAATTAATTAACAGTGCCACCATATCAGTCTTTGGCCCTCCTGTTTGGTCATGAATCCGCTCATTACTCGTAAAGTTGCTCTATTGAGCGACCGTTCGTTGTGATTAGAATGGTTTATTGTAAAGATGGATTTAGATTAAAGGAAATGCCAACACATGGGGGGTATCATGGGCGAAACAATATACTCTTATTTTATATCATCATATAATATATTATATCATAATCTTATTTTCTGATATTGCTCACAACTTAGGTTACATGTTTATTTTTATTATTTACTTAATTTTCTTGCACTGTATAATTATATTAAAGTGAATGCTGTGAATACCTATAATAGGCATGTGCATTAATATTGTATTATATTTAATGTTTGTTATAACTATATGTTATAATTCAATATGCTGTTGGTGTTCCTTAAATAAATAAATAAATAAATACTCTGTTATGTCCATGATACTGCTCATGTCTATAGGCGACTGTTACCACTTTTCATTAGCTGGGCCGTTAACTCGTTTGCCATTCTAAGTTGTATAAAAATTTAAACTAGGACAATGCAGAATTTAAATTTTGCTTCTTTATGGATGTATAATAAAGTGTGTGGATTATCTGATATGCGGTATAACTATTCAGCTTTTTAGCATATTATTAAATGAAGAAAGAAAAGCTCTATTAATAACTAATTGCATTTACAAAACAAAACAAAAAAAAAATAACTCATTAAGTTGTAACAATTAGTAAAATAGAAGAGTAGATTTTGGCTTTACTTTTGTATTTGAATGTTGATCAAGTATTTAAATTCGAATTAAAGAAAATTAGCTGACCATGTCTTAGTCTATAGGATAGATAATCCATAGAATTATTCTTTATCGTAAGGGAGACAGAGGGAGACTTTGTACAAAAGTCGATTGCTTAAGTACCTCTGTCCCATTCGTGTTTCAACCGTGAAGCAGTTGTGTTTGCATGGCTGTGTTTCGATTTGAAGGGTGGGATATGGCGTGAATTTACTGGGTACAGAGGAATAACATCTGAGTCCTCAGGAATGGCAACGCATGGTGAGTATCTTGGGCGAAACAGTATACTCTGTTATGTCCATGGTACTGCTCATGTCTATAGGCGACGGTTACCACTTTCCATCAGGTGGGCCGTCAGCTTGTTTGCCATTCTAAGTTGCATAAAAAAAGGGATTGAGCTGTTGCTTTCATATGGTATGTATTAAAAAAAAAAATTGTGACGTGACCATTCTTTGATTGTCTGACTACGATATTGTATCCATTTTAAAGTCAAATTCATGTTCAAAATATTCAATCTCCACAATACTGTATGAAGAAACTATTCGCTTAAGAATATACAGTGTTTGTATTGTGGAGACTGATGGCTGAACTAGGATAACCTGTGCTACAGCCACCAGACGTCAACCTCCAGATGAGTTGTAACATTGTGAGTAAATAACATTTTAAAGTCACACTCAATATATTAATGTTGCCACATTTTTATTATTACGTTAAAAGTTAAAATGTCGTAAGAGTAGGCATCTACAGTGACACCCCTGGTGTTAAAGGCATCCGTAGGATACAGTAACCCTATTTACCATCAGACGGGCCGTATCCTTGTTTGCCACTATAGTAGTTTTTTTTAATGGATGATAATGCAATGGCAATCCCTCTTGCGCTTCTGGCATACGCTGACGCGGCACCAGTGAGGGATGATAGATTAGAATGAAAAGACAGGTCAGTTAGTCAATCGTGATAAACACATCTGGAATTCAGCACGATGGTTTCCAGGACCACGTGCAGGTCGACCTGACAGGATATATTGCTAGCAATGGGACTAGTAGTCCGCATTACAAACAATCCCCCCCCCCCCCATCCCCCGCCCTGTCACCATAGTAGTATACAAAATGATAACGTACACAGTATAACACCGAGATCTATGTTCAAACTGAAATGACGATTATAAAATTAAAATT